GCATGCCAACCAACCCTATTAGGTACTTTGTAAAGTAAAACGGTGCTTTAAGCCCCCCTAAGGTACCTTTTCATTTTTGGGAAAAATAAAACAAATAAACATATAGATGTCGCAAAATGTCTAAGGCAAATGTTTGATTACAATTTCAGTATTGTACATGTGTTTGTTGGTGTTTTTTTAAATGTATGTTCACCTAATTTAGTTGCTCTTGTCCTAGGATTTTTTTGATGCAACTTCAAGACATCATGTACCCAAATACTGATGTGGAGGTATATATGTATATATGTGTGTATTCATTTGGTGTGGGGTTATAATTTGGCTTGGGGTTACTGCATTGCAAACCAAAACCATTGCATGACAACCAACCTATGTTTGGGGTTTTTATTTTGGAAACACACAGCATTCAATCAAACACAAACCATGGTTGGTACTACATGTTTATCTAAACACCAGGCAACAATAACCTTCGTTTTTTATTTGATTTTTTTAAATGAGAAAAACACTTACAAAGAATAGTAATCCATATTTGGGGTTACTTCTTTTAAATGATCCCAACAATAGATCCCTATGTTGTTTTTATTTTTTTCAACCAGTAGCATACATGAAACCTATTAAAAAAAAACAAAATTGAAATGAAAAACTCATTTTTTTGAAACAAACAAACATGGTTTTCAAGAAAATAAACACTATTGTTTAAAAGAAAAAACAAGTTTTCTCTATATTTTTTGTTTACTGCCCTGAAAGTTTGTTAAAAGTTTGCTGCAAACTTTCAGTCAAACTTTCAGGGGGGGTTGCAAGTTTGACTGAAACTTTCAATGCAAACTTGCAGGGCTGGATTGAAAGTTTCAATGCAAACTTTCAAGGCTGGATTGAAGGTTTAAAGAAACTTGCAGGGCTACACTGAAAGTTTGCATGAAAGTTTCAATGTAGCCCTGCAAGTTTCTTTAAACTTTCAATCCAGCCTTGAAAGTTTGCACTGAAACTTTCAATCCAGCCCTGCAAGTTTGCATTGAAAGTTTCAGTCAAACTTGCAACCCCCCCTGAAAGTTTGACTAAAAGTTTGCAACAAACTTTCAACAAATTTTCAGGGCAGTAAACAAAAAATATAGAGAAACCTTGTTTTTTCTTAAAAAATAGTGTTTATTTTCTTCAAAACCATGTTTGTTTGTTTCAAAAAAATGAGTTTTTCATTTCTTTTTTTTTAATAGGTTTCATGTATGTTACTGGTTGAAAAAAACAACATAGGGATCTATTGCTGGGATCATTTTAAAAGAAGTAACCCCAAATATGGATTACTATTCTTTGTAAGTGTTTTTTCTCCTAAAAAAACAAACAGTGGTTGTTTATTGGGCAAATTGTTTTGACATGTTACACCCACCATGTCTAAATGTGTTTTAAAAAGTAACCCAAAACATGGTTTGGTTGTCATTCATTGGTTTTGGTTTGCAATGCAGTAACCCCAAACCAAATTATAACCCCACACCACATGAATACACATATATACATATATATATATATCCACAGTAGTATTTGGGTACATTATGTATTGAAGTTGCATCAAAAAATCCTAGGACAAGAGCAACTACATTAGGTGAACATACATAAATAATACATCAGCAAACACATGTACAATACTGAAACTGTAATCAAACATTTGCCTTAGGCATTTTGAGACATCTATATGTCTATTTGTATTGTGATTTCCCCAAAAAATGAAAAGGTACCTTAAGGGGGCTTAAAGCACCGTTTTATTTTACAAAGTACCTAATAGGGTTGGTTGGCATGCAATGGGTTTTGTTTGAAAACAGTAGCCCCAAGCCAAATAATAACCCCACACCAAATAAATACACATATACCTCCACATTAGTATGTGGGTACATTATGTCACATTATGCCTTAAAGTGTCATCAAAAACACATAGGGCAAGAGCAATTACATTAGGTGAACATACATAGATAAGAAAAGAAAAAACACATGTACAATACAGAAACTATAATCAAATATTTTCATTACACATTTTTGGGGCATTCCCATTTTTATTTTTTGTTTTATTTTGCTAAAAAATAAAAAAGGTACCTGAAGGGGGGCTTAAAGCACCTTTCATTTTACAAGGTACCTTATAGGGTTGGTTGGCATGCAATGGGTGTGGTTTGCAAAACTGTAACCCCAAGCCAACCAATAACACCACACCAAATGAATACAGATATATCTCTACATTAGTATTTGGGTACATTATGCCTTAAAGTTTCAAAAAAACCTAGGACAAGAGCAATTACATTAGGTGAACATACATAAATAAAACAAAAAGCCACATGTACAAACTGAAACTGTAATATGTTTTTTTGCCACATATACCACCACTGATTAATGATTGAATACATATATATATATACATACTGTATATATATATACTATTTATTTGTTCATTTATTGTTTTTTGTTATTCATTCTTTATATATATATGTTTTATTTTTCTAATTATATATGTGTTTATCTTGTTAATGTTTTTGAACACGAACCACTTCTTAAAGTCGCAGCATATCTTTAAGTATTGTTTTCCATTATTGCATGCATAGGACAAATATTCATTTCACAAAAACATATTACCATCCAAAAATAAGAAAATCTCATGCAGCACCTTTTGTGAATGATAAATAGCACAATGGTTGGTTGATACATGCACGAGGTCTTTGGTATGTGGGCTACTTTTTTGGTGAAAGGTTGGAAAATATGTCAAGTGTACAAGTGCATTTACCATCCATGTAGCACACTGGTGCTCAAGATTGAAGTTACTTGTCACTTGTCGCCCCTGTTGGTAACCTGATGCTATGCTTGCTTTTTGCCTCCACCTGAACCAGCACCAGAATCTGTAGAACAGGCTTCTCCAGAAGAAGCTGCCCCATGAGCTGACTTAGATTCTTAGATACTGCAGCACCCAAGGCAAAGGCCAAAGCCAAGGTGAAAGCAAAATCTAAAGTCAAGGCAAAGGCAGCAGGTAAAGCCAAGGCTGCTGCCAGCAAAGCTCCTGGGGTTACTTCTTCGCCAATGAAAGCTCAAAAGGCAAAAGCCAAGAGCACAATGAAGAAAATCCTGAAAAGACCTGATGCAGCTGAAGGCGAAAGCCAAGGCCAAAGCGAAGACTGCCAAGGAGATGGCAGCAGGATGGAAGAAGACCAGGGATGAGCCAGTTCCTGATGACCATGCAGAAGGAGAAGATGAGGAGCCTAAAGAGGAGGATGCAACAGTTGCTGATGATGAGCATCGAAGCTACCCCAAGGTAAGGAAATGTGCCAGAATGATCAAAAGTGGTCAGGTGCCAGAAGATCTTCAGCAGCTCTATGAAGAGGGCTCCAAGAATTCTCCTCCCCCAAGGTTATTTAAGAGTCAATTCATCAACAAAGTCTTTCAGCAGAACACCAGTGGCGAGTTTGCTTTTGCTCCTGGAAATACCCAGTGCGAGGTTTTCAAGAAGAACTTTGAGATTTGCACCAACAAATCTCAGGTTACTGGGTTGCCTCACTCCATCATGTCGTGGAAAAAATCCAGTGAAACCAGCAAGCTTTGAATGAGCAGAAAGACGAGGTGATGTCTATCAGAAAGATGGTTACTATCATGTCAGGACAATAGCCACAGCCATTGAGAAGAAGCAGGGCAGTTCCATGGTCTTGCATGGTGGCCAAGCCAACATCACCAAGGATGAGTTATTCGCAGATGAGTCAATTCATGTCGAGCAGGCCCTGGAGCCAGCTTGGCACTGGAGCTAGTTGTGGTGGTAGTGGTAGTGGTAGTTGTGGTAGTGGTAGCAGTGCTTCCTCTACACCAGCTGTGGTTACTTCATCCTCAACACCAGGAGGATCCGAGTAGCAAGTTACATGGGTATGTAAGAGTGCATAGGGCCACGGAGGGCACGGGGCCAAGTTTACATAGCCACAGGATATAGCCAACACACAGCCTCAGCTACCATGATGATTCCACACTGATGCCTGCTTTGATGCATGGTGGAACAAAGGAAAAACCTAAAGTCTTCAGGGTATAGCGCACAAAAGATCGACCCAACACAGGCCAGTCAGCTATGGCAATGCTTCTGAGCCTAGCATCTTTTTTGGGAAACACTGCCGGTGGGAAGATGGGGATTAAAAACCAAGGGGAAGAGGGTAGGAAAAGGGGTGGGGAATATGTATGGAATATGTATATGTGTATACAAACATACATACATATATAATATATATATATCCCTATATATATATATATGTGTGTGTATTCTCTTATACCATCTCGGATCCTCCTGGATATATATAGAGAAGTATCTATCTATACATATGTATATACATATATGTATTTGTATTATATATGTAAGAATAAATACATATATATTTCTTTGATATGTATGTGCATATGTGTACGTATTTATATTATTTTATATTTATATATATATGTGCTGCAACATATACATATGAACCAATAGCAATTAACTATTAACCATTAACGGTCCAAATCGGTCCTTGCACCGTGCACGGCTGGCTGGTTGGGATGGCAGTGTGAATTTATAGGGTAAACCCTGAATAATTAATTCTTATATCATTATCATCAGTAACAACCATAGATCATCAGAAGGATCATGAACCAATTTTGGGAATGTTTGCAACACGCATTCCAAACAAATGACACATTCCGAAACATTATGAATCATTTTTACTTATTGGGTATGTTTTGGAATGATTTGGATTTTTTGGAATGGTGCATCCGGAATTTGTTTTTTGTCTATTAGACATTATACCAATAATCAACGATAACAATAATAATCAATGACTATAAGCCTTTCACATTGCCAACCCAATACGCTTGGAGGGTCAAACCCTTGTTTTTCACTGGCGCCACCGCTGCAGCGGATCTTAAGCCGGGAACCCTGGCCAGAGGATTTGGTGCTTGGTGGGTTTCTTCAGACTGTTTTGATTTTTCACAAAATAGTTTTCACCAAATAGTGAACTTTATTTCACTTTTCACCAAATCTCCTGAATCTCCATGTCCTGGAGATTGCACAGTTTTTCCCAGTGCATCCCCAAAAACAAACTGAATCTTTGAAAGAATCGTTTTGCCACTGTGGCACCATGAGCAGCACTGGCTATCTTGGTTATTTTACCAAGCATATCTTCTTCAGCCAGTGTTTTATGGTTCCTACAATTTTCATCGCTGGTGTCGAACTCGAAAACTATGTGGCACCATGCGTGCCTCGGGGTGAATCAAACCACAAGGATGTTAAAAGTTATTTTTCAATCAGTAATTATGGCCCAAATACTTTGGTCCATTGGTTCAACATGTTTCACATGAATGAGGGTTACGCAATAACAAAACACCTCATCAACTACCACCAAAAAAACACGTACTGCAAATATGGGGAACATCCAACCCGAAAATCAACCTTTGTGGTGGTGGTGGTGGTTGTTTAATATATTGTGTAATCCACTATACCAATCCAACAAAACAAAATAGTTATACCAGATGGTTGCGATGCTACCCTGCAAAGATTTGACATAAGTTTGGTAACATTTTTTCCATATTTGGAAACCCAAGAAACCATTTGGGGCGAACTTTGTAGTTGACCCGGCCCTTCTCCAAGTTCATGGATGATAGGCTGGCGTAAGCAGTAAGGGATGCCATGCCAGATTCATAGGCTCTTTTTTGCAAAACTTGACCCAAACGCAGAGACGGGCGATCAGTGACCCACAAGAAGTCTGCCACTCCCCAAAGCATCAACGAGCGGTGCTTGCACCCGGTACCTGGGGCCGATGAGCCCTATAGTAAGGTTCCATGTATTCTTGACCATTGTGTCATGTAGAGGTTGTACACGGGAGTGGATACAGATATGAAAATACTATATAGCTGTAGATATATACATATGTATGGTGGTGCGCTGTATCTATACATAATGGTTCATTTATACAGTATACATATATGTGAACACAGGTAAGTAAAACCAGATATGCATCAATACAGGTGCACATAAACATATTAAACAGATGTGCATAAACAACTAAAACTGTATATATATATAAACAAACACATATGAACGAAAACAAACCAAACAACATCATCTATAACAGATGATCATACTCAAATGGTGATGATATTGTGGTGGTGTCGGCGGAGACATGCCTGCATCAGATTGTAATAGTACGGGCCATATCAACCAATCAAACCTTGGCTATATGGTGGGTGTAACAGGATCATATTTTAAAAAAATGGTTTCAATCCCATTAGGTCACCAGGTGGCACTTGCAGTGGGTAGCGATGTCCTTCGCCAGCTCTGCTAACCAAAAAAGAATTGGTTTGGTATGGGCTGCTTTCACAGACGAATCCAGAACTGGATAGGCATTTGCTGTATCATTGGCACCACGCCCAAACAAATGCATATCCCAGCATGCTGGTGGTTTCTCTACCTTATGACGCCGGCACCACAACCTGAAAGCCCGACCCAACAGGTTCATGATCTTGTCACCACGCGAGTGCAGCCCTCCCTGAGGTGCAATGAACACATCAACACCCTGAAGCGCTGGGAGCTCGGTGACGCCAAGCTCGCTAAGCCGGGCGAGTATTGGAAGTTCAACCTGGGATGGCCAAGTGTGTGATTAATGAGATAAGTGTCATTGTTTGTCCACCCCAGGTTAACAAACCTCTGTTTGCATAGAGGAGATCTGATATCAGATGGGTATTTCATTAAGGGTAAATGGTTGATCAATGAGCTTATCAAAGATTCAAATCCTCATCAACTAGAATTAAACCCATCTATGATCCCACTTGTTTTGGTTGGAGCAACTATGTACACTGTAAAGAAAAAAGAAAACACAAACATATATAGTTATTTCAAAAACCTACATTCATTCTACTCGCTAATTTCGGGACTGGGGTGCAATGTCGCATAGGAAGCTTCCCGCAATGTCTTTGCCAGTGCCAAGCAAGATAGTGTGGGCACTATCCCAACGAACCCTCGATATATCAAATCCTGGAACTGCTAGCCATGGAGTTTGGTTCTGAACAGGGGTTTCAGCAAGGTAAGTTGCGTGGTTCCTGATAGTCCTTGTCCAGGGTGCATCAACCCGAAAATCAGAGTAGACAAGGTGGAGTAGGTCTTGTGATGTCCGAGCATGGGGATTAACTGCAGAGCATTGATCGCACACCATTGTAGACTGATAGTTCCTTCTGACAAAACTGTGGGACAATGTACGCTCTTTCCAATCACCACACCAGGATTCAAATCCACCCTTCCACCCTCCAGCAATCGGTTGATTGGCTTTTGTAGCACGAGCACCCATTAAAAGGTTACCATGTTGGTCATGGGTAGGAAAGGTACCCCTGAGAAGGTTTTCACCTTAGTTCCACAGTTGGGTAAAAAGGGTGCCATACATATAAGCCCCAAACTAAGCCCCAAACTAAAGACCGAAACAAATACTAGCACATGTTTGCCAAATTTATCCAATCCAGTGGCTGTCCCAAGCAATCACCTGTGTGATAGCCTTGTTTGCTTTGACCCGGAGTTCCTTTGTTGGCAAGAACCTCATTGGTATCACAGCAAATGGAAACTTGGTGCACCAGTTTTTCATAGCCATTGTTGATGACCAAAGCCAAATGATCAACTCATGGTTCGTGTTGAACTCGGCCCCATCCGTGAACCACTTGACCTCAACAATATGATGATAGGAGTGGCTCACAAAACTAATATAACCATACACATATAGTGACCCGATAATGATGTTAAATTGATAAATACTACTGAGTAATGTGAGCTTTGCCACTGATTGCTTCAATAACTAGAGCTAGGAAAATTATAGCCATAAATGATGAATCATCCAGAGAATATTTGATGAAGGTGTTGATGGACAGAAACTGTCACCGCTAGGGAAAGATAAAACCTTGATAACATAACTGAATAAATTATGTAATCAAACATGTGTGACGCGGTGCCAGTTTTTGTCCACAACACTAATCATTATTGATGGGGGAACAGTTCACAACAATGTTGTCCTATTTCCCGGACCAGTGGCTGGAAACGTCTCGCCCTTGAGGCCTGACCTTGGCAACCAGCTGCGTTGGGGTGATATATATATATATATATGGTTTCTATCTTAAACAAAAACAATCCATACATAGATTCAATGGGGGAAAAAATAAAAATCACCTCAATGCGCTGGCTGGCTGGATGACTGGATGCTGAGCACATGAAGGACTGTTGCGTTCGTAAGCTGTCCAAAAAGCATGTGCTGATTTGGAATCACACCCAATAAGGATCTTCCACAATTGCGGTGATTGTTTTTCCCAGAGAGCATGTAAAACATCACTTGCCAGAAGAACTGGGAATTCCATGAGGTGGGTTCTGGCTGCATCAGGGTCGTAGACTTCGATGCACACGCTGTGGATTGGAAACGTTGATCCAAATAGAGAAGGAATCATGCGGTGAAGGTCTCTTTCAACATTACCTTGATGTTTACCCCAGCAGGCCAAAGATGCTAAATCTCGGATGGTTGGAAGATCTAGCCCATCAGCATATGCTGCGTGAGCATACCTCTGAAGAGCATTGACATGCAATTCCTTAGGTGCTTTGATGTGTGAGGGAATGCCAACATCAAGAAAATGGTGTGTTTATGGTTTGGGGTAACCATCCATCAAACCCCAAGGGAATCGAAACCAATGGTCCCAACAAAATCTCGCTCACCAGTTATTTGTTGCAAGATAAAGTGACTTCAATCACATAATTCACTTAAATATAAATATTTGTACATATTCGATGAAGTTCATATAGTTGTGAGAAGCTGTACATGCAGTTATATTCATTCTGAATGCCAATGAAGTACATGATAACTGGTGAGCATTACTGACTTGATTGGTTACCAGGGAACACCTCGAGAAACATCCCACAGCATCGCATGGGCCAACTCGCTTCCAGGATCATCAGTTCGCTGCCGCTTAGCAGGTGGGCCTGGCGAGGGCAGGGGCTCAAATAATTTGCCCATCGGGTCAAAGAAGGCCAGGTAGTTATCCAATGGAATAGCCAATTGGGCATTTCCTTTAATGAAGGTAGCCAATAACCAATCATAACTCACTGTAGGCAAACCATGGTTTTTGGGGAACCTTTATTATTAAGATGACAAATCCCAAGATCACTATATATATTTAAAAAAAAATATATATATATATTATATAGTGCTAACTGGTGGCTACAAGGTTGGAAAACCTTTGTGCGTGAGCTCAAAGTGTAAGTTGATACATGTTGATACGGTGTCAGGGAAAGGGGGTTGAACTCAATGTCCATCCTTACTTGACTTAACCCATCAAAAATATGTGGGCACTTGAACCTGTAACAAAAACACGTTTTGTGGGTAACCCCAACATGTCACCGTGCTTTCAGAAAGCCCCATCATGTCCCCATATGATTCAACCAGCGATATATTTTGAGGGTTTACACCCCTTCAATTTTATGATAGGTTGGCTTGACAACATTTGGTAAAGATACACAATTATAGATATTCATGGAATTAAAAACCAAAACAACATTCATAATATTTTCTCCCATTAAGTTGGTCAATTACCTCCATGTAGTCAAGGTAACCCCACCATGGAGACGGTTGAGTAAAACCTTTTTTGTCGCTTGTTCAACTCGATCTCTCACCAGCCAGATGCGACATGGCACTCACCCAAAATGAGTTGCCCTAAGCTGCAAATGCTGGTTTCCAGCAAAATTCCATGGCAAATGAAGCCATCATCGCCCATGGTAGCCATCACCCACTTGAAGCTATGAATGCATTGGGTCCCCAAAGAATTCTATATGTAAGATTAGCAAGTAAGTGTCGCTACATCAAACTCAACGCATCTATTCCACTAGATGTCAACTAAAATAATTTGGATTTGATATGGGATCAGGCTGCCTTAAGGGCTGCCGTTTTCATGGTGTTGGCCACCTTCTTCCTGGTTTTGAACCAACTTTGGTAATTGGTTGCCTGATCAAAAAGGACCTGATACTTCGACTGGTCATTCACTTCCTGTGATGTAAGCTGATGCAACTCACGGTACAGGTTTGTCATTGCCGAACTATGGGTGGTCAATGCCGTCTGCAGCTCCGAAGCGCACTCCAGGCCCTCGATGGAGATGCACAGGGTCCTGGCCTCTTCTGCCTCTTTCAACCTGAGCAGGACAGATGAGGGGAAGGGGCTCAATATATGGAGCATGGGCCATTCAACACCACATAGATATATGATATATGTATGTGTATACATAAACAATACAGGTATGAACACATACACATATATATATGTACATAAGTATAAATATAACATTTATATTCATATGTAAATGTATGCATGTATGTATGCATGTATGCATGCATGTATGTATGTATGTATGTGTGTTTATCGAAATATAGACTCATGGAATAAATCTCTATGTATATATATATATATGTATGTATGTATGTATGCATGCATGCATGCATGTATGCATGTATGTATGCATGTGAATACAAACTTATATTGATAGACATATTTGTAATTTGATAGATACACATATTTCAATATACATATATACATATATACATATACATATATATATATGTATGTGTATTTATTTACATATGTAAATAAGTACATGTACACAAATCCTTAAAACCATATACATATATATATATATATACATTCTTACAAAAACTCATGTTTATACATATATATATATATATCTACGCATGTATGAAAATATGATGAGTGGCAATGCTTGGAAGCCGATGAGCTGCCAATGTTTAGATCATGAGGTTTCAAGTATGTTCATCATAACCGAAACAAACCATTGTACCCGATGGCCTATGGCCTTTGATATAGGCACCATCACCCCATCAAATCAGGTGTTGAGCACAACAAAAGGAATGAAATTCAGTACCCCCAAGTGCATGATAGAAGCATTGCAAGTTTGGTCTCCATGGATATCAGCAAGGATGTTTCATTATGGTTTCCAAACTGTTGGCCACCCAAAGGGTGGCAAATAGTTTAATGATATGAATTGTGATCGCTAGATACCACCTCAATTTCAAATTGGGAATCCTGAGCCCAAACCATTGCTAATAAACCACTAGGTTTATTAATTGGGTGTGGTAGCATTTTAATACTATTGGGGGTTATTAAACCCTATTATTGAACCATTGTTAACCAAGGTTTATTCATCCCAACTCACCATTACTTGCTATAGTTGTAATACATGATCCAAGAAACACAATCTTCTTTAAGGCCATAGCCTTATCCAAAGGTGACTGCGGTTTGTCGGGGGGAGGGTCGGTGGTGTCATCGCCAGGCTTCGCCTTGGCCTTGGCTTTTGTTTTTGCCTTTGCTTTCGACTTTCCTGCTGGTGCAGCTGGCGTTTCCCCACTGCCACCCCCACCAACACTGTTGCCTCCCAACCCCAAAACATCGTTCAGGCTGGGTACTGCGATTCCCGAGAAGTCAGCACCTTCCTCTGTCAGGGCCAAGGCTTCGGTTGTGTTGAGGGAAGTGTTTGACACCATTTCCTGTGTGTCCTCCCTGCTGTGTGCGACCTCATGGCTAACTTCCATGTTCACCCTGTATTGGCGAAGGTCCTCTCTGTTGGGAAAGTTGGGGTCATTGATGTACAAACCCGCGGCTGTCTTCCTGGCGATGAGTTCTTGGATGTCCTGTTCGGAGTACCTCCCACTTGCTTCCAAATCCTTCTTGCTCATGCACTTGTCCTTTGCTGCTGCTGTTTGCTTTTGCGCATTCCTCCTCCTGACCTCGATCGCCACCTGTTGAAAATCCTGCCCCTTCTCCAACCAAATTCGAAACAGATCTAGCTTGTTGCCCTGGAAAACAGGAATCAAGCTTTTGACCATCTTGCTTGGGTTCCTGGCCGCACGCAAGTACTGCATGTACTCCGCACGATTGCTGACACTGTTGGGCAAGGCTTGTTTTGCTGTCTCTGCTGCTGCTCCATCCACAACAGCACTGAGCTGGGATGGAGAGGGTGATGCCTTGGGCGCAGGCACAGGTGGGGGAGGCATGGCTGCACCAGCCTTGGGAGGATGGGCTCCAGCAACAGCTGCATCAGGCTTCGGAGGATGGGGTGCAGCAACAGCTGCATCGGGCTTCGCAGGATGGGGTGCAGCAACAGCTGCATCGGGCTTCGCAGGATGGGGTGCAGCAACAGCTGCATCAGGGTTCGCAGGATGGGGTGCAGCAACAGCTGCATCGGGCTTCGCAGGATGGGGTGCAGCAACAGCTGCATCAGGCTTCGCAGGATGGGGTGCAGCAACAGCTGCATTGGGCTTGGTAGCTTCAGGGGCATTGGGCTGCGGAGGTGGCAAAGCTTGGGGTGTGGGTTGTGCAGGGGATGGGATTCCCAAAGCCTTCCTCATGTTTGCCCTAGCACGTTTCCAAACCTCAAAGCCAAGCACATCATAGTATGGCTCCTGCTCACCAAACTCCCAAGACTCCTCACCCGGTACAGGATCCCCAAGCTCCTCATTCACCCCATCAACATAGCTTTGGAAGTCGAAGTGTTGTTTGGCATCACTCACCATTTTTGTCATATCTTCTTCCGTCATACTTTTGAGTGTGTTCTCTACCTCAGCCTCTAGTTCTGGTGTACTCAAAGCACTGGGTGTCAGCACACCACCACCACCCATCAAGGCATTGGCAAGGTTACCTGCTGTGGCTGGGGAATGCTTGTCAAGGGTGCCTGGTCTTGCTGTGGAATGGCTTGCTATGGCTGAGGAAGGGCTTGCTGCTGGGGAAAGGCTTGCTGCGGCTGAGGCAGGGCTTGCTGCTGGTGGGGAAGGGCTTGCTGTGGCTGCCGAAGGTACAATGGGCGGTGCTGGGCATTCTAAAGGTTTTGGGTCATCACCAACTACCCCAACATCACCATCATCTAAGGGCTCACCATCAAGGGCTCCCGAGGCCACGATAGCTGCCAAGTCCTCATCGACCTGCATCTCCAAAGCCAACATCTCATCATCACCATCAACCACTGGCATGTCCACTGACTCCGGCAACTCAGCCGGCTCAGGAGGGATCGAAGAGCCACCAGTTGAAGAGGCAACGGTGGAAGTCATTTCAGCCTGGGCTGAGGGTGTCAAAGCTGTTTGTAATGATATCATGATTGAAGATTATTCGATGGTTGGTATTAAGTAATTAAACATATCTATACATTACACATTCCAATAGCCGAAGACAACATAGGGATACAAATACTTAAGGGCCAAGACCGTTGGAAGGTTATCATACCTATACCCACATAGTTATAGAGTTATAGTTGTATAACTGGTGATCCTTGATTTCATAACCAAACACATATAGCTGGTGATCATTGGTTTCATTACCCATTGCCAATCCAAAAGCCAAAGCCTAGAAACCACCATGTCATCCCAGCTGACACCATTGAGCTGTGCTGCTAGCTGAAACTTTTCCAGTAGCTCCGATTTACCCATACGAGCTTTGGCTGCTGGATGTGGCATAGGGCTTGAACTCGGTCGCTTCTGCGCATGGCTGGTGGAACACACCCCCTCATGACCAACCCCGGCTCTGTATGTGGTTGGGTCAAAAAACTTGAGAATGTTTTCCTTTGTTGTATGACGCTCCATGTGGACCAATGGCTTGGGTCTTGGAGGTGAGATCAAACCTCTATAGGTTGTTGGGTCAAAGAATTTGTGGATCTCAGCTCGGGTTGGAGTCCCCCAATTGCCCCTGTCCTGGGGAGTCACAAAGGACCCTGGCTTTGGCATTGCACCAGAGCCACCATGGGTCTGGCTAGGATGGGACATCCCTCAAGCACGGTGCTGCCACTAGGGCTGCTTGACCCCCAAAAGGCTGAAGGTGTCATATGAAATAGGGTGAAATAGGGTGTCATATGGTGTAGATAATAAGGAAACACCACAAAAGTGTGAAGTTTTTTTGATTTTTCTATGATATGATGGGGATGGTTTAGATGATAGTGTGAAATGTGTGAAATGTGAAATTTCACGAGTAGTAACGGCATAATCACGGAGTAGTAACGGCATCCAAGTTTTTGATTTTTCTATGATATGATGGGGATGGTGTGAAATGTGTGAAATGTGTGAAATGTGTGAAATGTGAAATTTCACGAGTAGTAGCGGCATAATCACGGAGTAGTAACGGCATCCAAGTTTTTTTGATTTTTCAATGATATGATGGGGATGGTTTAGATGATAGTGTGAAATGTGTGAACTGAAATATCCAAGTGTTTTCTGTTTTTCCATGATATGATGGGGGACCTACAGCTGGAGATATTCACAGGTAATTTAAAAAAATACCAAGTATTTAGAATAGTACCCATAGTATTTGATAGCTTGGGTGTGCACCCCACAATGTTTATCCAATACTCCATTCCAAATAGTATATGTATATGTACACACACATATACATATATATATATATATATATATTAATTTATTTATCCATTTAATACATATATATATATACATATGCATACATACATGCTTACCCTTATATATATAAGTATACATAGATTAAACTATATAGTCATCCCTTAACTCCTGGCTCATATAAGTTTAGGGAATACACCCCACTCCATGGGTGGCCTCCACCTCCAGCTCTGGCTAGCTGTGACACCCGCTTCATGGCCAGGTCGAAGCACCTCCAGAGCGCTGGGAATCCGATGGGAATCCAAGTTGGGAATCCAAGTCGATGGGAATCCCTTTAAGTGGGTTTGAAATACCCTTGAAGGGGGGTTGAAGATAATATCCATCTTCAATAATATGATTTCTGATTTCTCTACTCATAGCTTTGATGATGAGAACATGGATTTCTGTTCAGATAGATACACAACACTATTAAGCAAACCATTCTATATGGAATCCAACAAATGGTGGAAAATACAGTGCTCTAATGGGCCTGTGGGTGCTTTTTGAGGGATGCCAAACAAAAGGGAAATTAGAGCATTCTATTAGCCAAGAAATAGAAGGCTCATCATCCACGGGTACACTCTTCTATTTTTTTCTTGCCTTCCAGCATGGCTCCGGCTTGCATGGAGGTTGCAATTCAGCCATGGAAATTAATTGGACCACTGAATAAACTCATCATATGCATTGAATGCAAATCAAAAGCATTTGGGGTGGACATCCCTGAACAACAGATACATCATATATTCATATATACATATGTTGATAGATATACATAAACCATTTGTGATGATAATGAATGAGAATGGACATGATCTTCAAAGGTCTATATATATAATATGTCAAAGGGAACGTAGTGAGAACATACAAACAATTCATGCATGGGACGCCACTATGGCTCAAGACCCCACGCGTGAGCAAAATAAGTGTTCGCCGTCCGCCATGATTAACGGGTCCGGGAACTACCAGTGAAGCGGGTACCAATTGAACTACAACATCCAGAACAAGGATCGATTTGTTCACAGGTTATCAGCCGTAGGGCTCACTTCTCCCTCCGGGAGAGTGGTACCTGCGTGCTGGTAGCCGGGCCTTCTGAGCAATTGATTGAGGACGCAAAGAACCAATCAGCTCATCATCGCAAAGATGCATGGCGGCAGCGGAGATTCGCGCACCACGCAGTTTACCTTCAACGAGAACACTGCCATGCCGGTCGAGGAGGTCAATCAGTCTTCCCCTGGTGACACGGCAGACAGTGGTGGGATACGCTCTACCCGAACTACACAGTCCGGATGGCAAGTAACGACAAACAGACGAAGGATATCCACCCAAAGTACACCAAGATCTTCTCGAAACAGTCCTCGGAGTGATGTTGTCCGCCAAGGGCATCGACAATCTCGAGGGCGAACTACTCCTAGGGACAGATCCACCAGGGCCGTGACCGACCGAGTTGGTGAGAGGACCGGGGATAGTCGTGTTAAGAGGAGATCAACAGATACTTCTGTGGCTAGTGAACCTATCGCCATGATAGAAGAACTACGGGCACAATGTCAATCCCTACGTAATCAGCTGAACAACATGGAAGCATACGCTGCATCTAGAGATCAACTGATTCATGACATCGAGATTAGATTCACCGAGTATCTTCAGGAACACAACCAGAACGTGTTTGATAAACGCAGTGCACTCAATCGTAGATTGTCACGTTCCGCGAATGAAGTTGCAGAATATCAAGCAGAGTTAATGGTGGCATCTCAAGAAGATGAAGGTGCAACAATGCGCATCCAAGACCTTGAACGCCGAGGTGCCCTAATGGAACATGGTGCACGACGGATCCATCAACGTGGTATGGAGATCCAGGAGGAGTACAAGGATGAAGTACATCACCTTCAAGGACTATTGGGTAATACGGAGGCAAGACTTCAACAACTTCATCAAACCAATGTCTTAACCACCGATATTGCCAATCGACTCTACAATGAAGGTCAAGAAATGCAAAATGATTTCCAGAACTCAATCATGGAATATCGTAATCGATCCGAAATGGCATCCTTCTCTAGCAATCAACTTGAAGTGATTAGCCAACAACAATCGATTGCAGTTCATGAACTATCTGAACGGAATCAACTATTGAGTGAAGCTTTGGTTCAATCTCGTAAACAGGCCGAGCTGTATGAAGGCAGTATTGACGAGATCACTAGAGAATCTAGGAAGAAGGTTTTCGAGGCAAATCAGGCCAAATTAGAAAGTGATCTGAAGCATCGAAACACCGAACATGATACCGTCAAAAGAATTGCATCATACAGGAACCAAGAGGCCGAAGCGATATCACACCTGAGGCTTGAATCACAGGCCAGCTTGAATTCGATCGCGAGGGCCGAGCATTATGAAGAGCTCTACACCAATGAGCAGGAGATGAACTGCGAGTTAAAGGATGAGATCAAGTTGCAGAACACGAAGTTGCGGAGATCGTTGACTCCGGGTTCTACGACCGACGGCCGTGGCCCCGATGACATGCTTGTTGAAGATCTACGTAATCAAGCCAAAATTGCTCAAATTAGGGTTCAGGATCTTGATCATGAAGTTCATGAATGTTTACAAGAAAACATGTTATTGAAAGAAAGATTGGCTGAAGTTGCGGATGTAGGGGCTTCGTCCCTCACCAATGCCGAGGTCCGAACTCTAAGATCAGAACTAGAGAGCGAGCGAAAATTGAAATTGGCTAGTGGTGTTCAACAATATGAGAGATCATGCATGTTCATGGGGGAAATCCAGGATAGGGATGAACAGATTGGCATCAAGAATTCTGAGATTGCTGACATGAAACGTCACTTAGATGAACTGAGAAGAAGTCTCAAGGATTCTGAAACATCTATGGCTAGGATCAATCCTGACACACTTCCCTATTCGGCAGGCATTCCCAACACCGATCTCGCATCCAGACTGGTCATCGACAAACTGGAGAACGACGTGAGTGAGGCTAACTGTGAAAACGCCATTCTAAAATCTTGGGTTTCGCAGATCGACAAGGAGTTGACCTATGAGACAAATGTGGCTCATTCTTATCGTGGACATGCTGTACCTCCTCAACAACAACATTCTCAATCAAACAAAAGAATCGCTGATCTGCTGAAAGAGGTTGACAACAAGATCGCTGGCGGAACTGAGAGGGACTATTACAAGCCGCCGAGTGGATGGGGCGGTCCGCCTGACCCTGATGGACCTCCGGACCCTTTCGGGCCTAACGGACCAGGACCACCTCCCGAACCACCAGGTTTGCCTTCAGTTCGAGGATCACAACGAGATTCAGCAGATGATGTCTCTACAGCGGCCTACACTGCAGAAGAAGTACCGAGAATGTCAAGACGAGAGGCGGACAAAGTCTATGTTAGCCCATGGCCAAAGCAACAGAATCTTGGGGTTTGGCAATCAGATCTCATCAAGAGTGTTGTTCTCTCGGCAAATGACGGAGACAAAGCCGCCTGGGAAGCATGGCTACAGCCGGCTATTCGACCAAATCCTGACATCGAGCTATTGAATGACAGTGGGGGGCAAAGGTATCAGTCCATCGACGCCAAGTTGTCAATTGCATTGTCAAATGTGATAGCCCAAGCCGGTGATGTTGCTCGTCATGTAGCGATCAAATTGAGATTGAGAACACAAAGTCATAGCCGAAG